ACCAGGCTGACATCAGACTCACAGAGATCACCTGCTTCTGCCTCCCAAGTGCTAGGATTAAAGGTGTGCATTACCACTGCCTGACTATAAACTTCATTTTTTTATCTAATTTACCAGGTGGTTGGTCACTGAGGAGCAATTATTGCTACAGTTAGACATCAATATCATCAGTGATCTGAGGATAAATTTGAGCATGACATATAATCCAAATGGCCTCTATCAATTAAAAATGACAGAGACATAATTACCTGGATGGTTGCCTCAGGCTCCTTCATGATGGTCTTGAGGGTAGAGGCCATTGGTCTTTCACAGGCCGTCACACAGGACAGCGTTAAGCCTTTCATTACCACAGAGGGTAGCTTGGCCTTTAGCTGCCAGTCTCAGATCTAACAGACTTATTTGTGCATGAAAAACTTGAGAGTGGCTTTCCTTGGTGGCAAAGAGGGACAGTCAATTCTCCAGTGACCTTGTTCACAGTTTGAGCAGGATCCTGGCAGTAGGCAAGGCATGAGGCAGTTTCTGCCCAATGGTTAGAGTTACTATAGGCTTGTGCCCTATTGTCTTCTTTGGAAGAGGCGTAAGGGCTGCCTCTGGGAGTTAGTAGTTTTGTCTGTCATGGGAAACATTTTTTTTTGGTTTTTATGAGACAGGGTTTCTCTGTATTGTTTCGGAGGCACAGAGATCCGCCTGCCTCTGCCTCCCGAGTGCTGGGATTAAAGGCGTATGCCACCACCACCCGGCGGGAAACATTTTTTTTTAGTTAAACATCTTAAATGCCATATTCAGCAGAACTCTGAGAAGTCTGAGAGCTATCATAGTAATGGTTTCTATTGCAAGTTGGGGAGGAAAGGGTTTATTCAGCTTACACTTCAGCATTGATGTTCATTACTGAAGGAAGTCAGGACAGGAACTCAAACTGTGGAATCCTGGAGTCAGGAGCTGATGCAGAGCCCATGAAGGAGTGCTGCTTACTGGCTTGCTTCCCTGGTGTTAATGAGACAGTGGAGAGCGGAGTGGGCATCTGGTAACACCAAATGCATAGAATGGAGTGGGCATCTGGTAACACCAAATGCAGAGAATGGAGTGGGTATCTGGTAACACCAAATGCAGAAAATGGAGTGGGCATCTGGTAACACCAAATGCAGAGAATGGAGTGGGTATCTGGTAACACCAAATGCAGAGAAATGGGCAGTTTTGATCCATGTCCTCCACCAGCCAAGGTTCACAATGGATCACCCAGAACTGTGGGTCACTGATTTGCAGAAACAAGCTACTGCAATCCAGGCAAACCTCACCCCACCTCTCACTGCTCTGCACATGGCAGGTTTAAGTACCCTGGCCCTTTAAGAGGCAAACTCCACCCACCTGCCCTCTCTCTTTTCCTGCCTGTTCTGTCTCTCCCCCCTTCTCTCTCTTTTCTCTCTGCCCCCTCTCTTTCTCTTTCTTCTCTCCCTTCCCCTTCCTTCCCCCACTCCCTTTCTAATACATCTCCCTTCCATGTAAGTTCTGCCCAATGTCGTCCACCCCCTGCCCCTCACCCTCCAAGGGGCCCACTAAGGCTCCCATGCCCCGCATTCACCTCTTGAACTATTTTAGCACAGGTCACAGGGGACCAGGCTGGAGCAACTGAAAACCACGGTTTACAAAGGGGGAGCAACAATGGCGTCATCATATAAAGGCTGGAGAGGTGACTTAGTGGGAAAAGGTACTGCTGTCAAGTCTGAGGCCCGAGTTTAATCCCCGGGACTGGTGGAAGGAGAGAACTGCAGAGCTGGCTATGACAAGCTGTCCTCTGACCACATACACACACACACACACACACACACACACACACACACACACACACACGCACGCACGCACACACACGAATGCACGCACGCATACATGCACACACATGCACACACACATGCACACACACACATAAGTGTAATAAAATCGCACACAAATAAATATAATAAAATATAAATAAAGTAAGCAATTGGGATTATTAAGGCTATGGTCACTAATTTATGGGAGTAGTGACTTGAATTACTTGAATGAATTACTTGAAGATTACTGACATGAAAGCAGCCACAGATGCAGAAATCTAGAGATAATCTCAAAGAGGGCTTTCCTGGTTTTCACTGACTTTGATTCCTACCTGACTTAGAACAAATAAATCCATTGCTTTGTCTTGCCACAGATGCAGATATTGGTTTTCATTAACTATCAATAAAATTAAATTTTGAATTATGCTCAAACAAAACACTGTCCTGAGATATTAATAATTGCCAGAATATCTGAAGGCATCCTACCTTCTGATAGCACACAAAGGAATGACACAGACAATTTATCTTAAGTGGGGCTTTATTGCCCCATTAAAGTGTTCAAGCACATTGCCCTGGACAAAGAATAAAATGAATTTTCATCACACCTGTCCTTCCCCTGGATGCCATTCAAGGACCAGATGCAGTAGTAATATAGTACTTAATGTCTTGGGATGCTTTCACACACATACTCAGGACATTGCAATTGCAAATGCTTGCCATTCTTTTTAAATATGTACTTATTTATTGTGTGCATTTGGTTTTGGTTTTTGTTTCTTTGTTTTGAGACATAATCTTGCTATGTAGCTCTGGGTGACCTGGAACTTGTTATGTAGACTAGACTGGCATTAAACTCACAGATCTACCTGCCTCTGCCTCCCAGATGCTGGAAGCAAAGGTGTGTGCCATCATCCAGTGTGTGTGTACAGATGTCATAATGCATGTGTTGGAAGTCAGAGGACAGCTTGCAGGAATCAGTTGCCTTCTCCTAGTTTGTGAGTTCCAGGAATCAAACTCATGTTGTCAAGTGTGTGTGTCAAGTGTCTTTACCTGCTGAGTTGTCTCACCAGCCCTGCATTTGGCAGTTTTGAAAGTGTCTCCACATCCACCATCAAAAGTCTCATAATGGCATTCGATCTCTATTGCTAATAACTGTATTCCACAAGTGAAAAAAGCAAAGCCCAGGACCACCAGGAGAGCACGGGTCTGTACTGTGGGCAGCTGGTAAGTCTCCAGGTCCAGCAGATGGTAGGGCCAGTGCTCTTCTGGGCTAATGCACCCGAGAGACAGGCGAGCCATGGACACCAGTCTTCAGCAGGTACAGGCTGAGTAGAGTCAGCACTGGTGAGGACTGGGATCCTGGTCCTCTCTACCCTTCACCCAGATGACTCAGTTTCAGCCAGCCTCTGTCTAGCACGTACAGACAAAACTCTGATACTGCCCTTCCTAACCCCAGAGTCTCCCTGAAGAACTGTACCAGTGAAAAATGCAGAAGCCCACTCTCCCTAGGCCCTACTCTTCCTGCTCGTCTTCTCAGATTAAGCCCAAGAAATAGGAACCAAATATAAGGAGATTGCTGGAATTGCTATCTCTTCCTGTAAATTGCAAACCCATCCTACACATTTTTACAATACCATCTAAAGCCGTTGCAGGATATGTGATCGCACTGTGATACTCCAAGACTGTTAAGAAAGTTAACCTTGAATCAGGGGGAGGAGCCAGCCACTAGCTGACCAGAATTAGCCACAGAGAAGTCAGAAATTTGGATAGAGAAGACAAAAAGGAAGCAAAGGGTGGGACTAGCTTTTGGCACTTCTTTTGGTTTTAGGACAAGTGAGGAGTCCGGGTCTCCAGACAAAATCAAGGTCAGCTGGTTGCTTCTCACCTCCTCTGATCTAGCAGGATTCACCCCACATCTGACTTCCAGGTTTTGGTGGTAAATAGAATGATAGAGACTTAGTTTAAACCTACACATCAAGACCCCAGCAAAGCAGGGGCTTTCCAGGTCTCAACCTGAGTGACAGGCAGGGCACTGACTGGGGGGCTTGGAGCTGCAGATGATAATTAAAATATTAGTAGATTCGGCCGGGCGTTGGTGGTGCACGCCTTTAATCCCAGCACTCGGGAGGCAGAGGCAGGCGGATCTCTGTGAGTTCGAGGCCAGCCTGGTCTACAAAGTGAGTTCCAGGACAGCCTCCAAAGCTACAGAAACCCTGTCTCGAAAAACCAAAAAAAAAAAAAAAAATTAGTAGATTCTTGTGCAGCCTCTAAACCAAGAGAAAAAATCATAAAGCAAACCAAACACGCCACCAAGTGGCACAACACCAGGGCGTGTAGGCCCCTCAGTGGAGTCTGCTAACCCAAACATCGTATTAATTTAACAATGAAGACTGTACTGAGCTTGTTTTATGTCTACTTGACACAAACTAAGATCAGCAGGGAAGAGGGAACCATGAGGTGGTACTCTAGGCAAGCCTACAGGGCATTTTTAAAATTAGTGATTGATGCAGGAGGGACCAGCCCATTGTGGATGGGACCACTCCCTGGGCTTCTGGTCCTGGGTTCTGTAAGAAAGCTGGCTGAGTGAGTCATGAGGAGCAAACCCTCTTCCATGGCCTCTGCATCAGCTTCTACTTCCAAGTTCCTGCCCTGTTTAGAGTTCTTGTCCTGACTTCCTTGATGATGAACTGTTACATGGAACTGCGAGTGAAATGAATCCCTCCCCGAGTTGCTTTGGTCATGGTGTTTCATGACCAGATAGTAACCCTAACTAAGACAATGACACTCACTCGACTATTTTGAGCCTCAGCTATCAGTCTGTTATGGAACTTTATTGGTTTTGAGTAGCAAATCCAATCTATCCTTAAACCAAAACAAAACTGGGTCTCATATAGCTCAGGCTAACGCCAAATTCTCTATGCATCTGAGAATGACCCTGAACTTCTCGTTCACCTACTCTGCCTCATGAGTTCTGGGATGACAGCACAACCATGCTTAGTCTATCAGCACAGGGCTTCAGCCTGCTATGCAAGCCCTCAACCAACTGAACCATATCCCTAGCCTCAGTACAGCTTTGAGTCTGCCTTGGTAATTTCTGTCTTCTAGATAGATTCATTTCTGATTCTATTCCATGACTTCTAGTAGAGTCACTTGGAGCATTCACATACTGGCGTATGTTATTATGGATTTTCTTTTACGGTACAGTTGGAGCGGCATATTTTCATGTATATGTACAAGTAGATTCTGATCACCATGAAAGGGTAAGACAAAATGATTGTCATAAAAAGTAGACTTAGTGGAACAAGACTGAAAGCCATCATGTTGGCAGACTGGCCTGCCCTTCCCCGAGTCTCTGCTCACTGAGTCATCAACTCCACATCTTCCTACTCCTCCCTCTCCCCCACTGGAACTACTCCTCTGGGCTCCTTAGCTCAGCTCGTGCCAGAGCTTGCTCTGGGCTCTCGGGCCAGCAAGGCTCTGCTGGCTCCATCTTCTAAGAACAATCTCAGCTCTTCTGTGCGCCTTCCTCAGAGCCACTCGCGGGTTCTGTCCTGATCTAGTCACCCCAGCCTGGTCCCCATCTGTCTCTTCTGGGCTGTCACTGAAGGTGAGGGCTGTCCCTGTACTCCTTTCCTGCCCATGGGGTCAGGGTCCAGTGCTTCTTCGCCATCCAACCTTAGCTCCCTCCAGCTGAGCCCCTGGAGCTGCTCACGAGCTGCTATCTGTGTCACCCGTGTCTTTGCATCCTCGTACAGCAAGGCATAACTGAGGCTGTCTTCTACATCGATAGGCATTCTCTAGAGCAGTGGCTCTCAACCTCCCTAATGCTGTGGCCCTTGGGTACAGTTCCTCATGTTGTGGTGACCCCCAACCACAAAGGTATCGTCATTGCTACTTCATAACTGTAAATTTGCTATGTTTTGGAGATACAGGTTTGTCAAGGGGTTGAGACCCACAGGTTGAGAACCAATGCTCTAAAGGACCCTGCTCCCAAAGTCTTTGTTTCTGTAGTTATTACTGCAACACGCCAGGGCAACCAGGGCAAGTTTGCCTAGGCATTCTTCACTCCGTTCTGCTAATGAGATGCCAACTGAATTAAACCAAAAGAATGTTCTGAGATGTTTGTGTTCCTTTAAAGTTTGAATACATTTTAAAGATGATTTTATGTCAATGGGTGTTTCGCCTGTGTTACGTGTGCCGTGTGTGCAGTGCCCAGGGGGTCCCAGAAGAGGACAGTGGATCCCTGAAGCCGGAATTCCAGACAGCTGTGAGTCACCATGTGGATGTGGAATTGAACTGGAATACGCTAGAAGGTCAGCCATGCTCTAACCACCAGCCCCCTGCTTTGTGTGAAAAATGTAAACATTGTTAGTCAGCCTTTTCATAATTACAAAATACCCAAACAAAAAGCAGACCAAGAGGACTGGAGGGTGACTGGACAAAGCAGACGAAACAGGACTACAGAGGAGGTATGCTCGTACGAAACAGGACTACAGAGGAGGTATGCTCATATGAAATAGGACTACAGAGGAGGTATGCTTGTATGCAACAGGACTACAGAGGAGGTATGCTTGTATGCAACAGGACTACAGAGGAGGTATGCTTGTATGCAACAGGACTACAGAGGAGGTATGCTCATACGAAACAGGACTACAGAGGAGGTATGCTCATAGGAAACAGGACTACAGAGGAGGTATGCTCGTATGCAACAGGACTACAGAGGAGGTATGCTCGTGGGAAACAGGACTACAGAGGAGGTATGCTCGTAGGAAACAGGACTACAGAGGAGGTATGCTCGTATGCAAACAGGACTACAGAGGAGGTATGCTCGTATGCAACAGGACTACAGAGGAGGTATGCTCGTGGGAAACAGGACTACAGAGGAGGTATGCTCGTACGAAACAGGACTACAGAGGAGGTATGCTCGTATGCAACAGGACTACAGAGGAGGTATGCTCGTATGCAACAGGACTACAGAGGAGGTATGCTCGTGGGAAACAGGACTACAGAGGAGGTATGCTCGTGGGAAACAGGACTACAGAGGAGGTATGCTTGTGGGAAACAGGACTACAGAGGAGGTATGCTTGTGGGAAACAGGACTACAGAGGAGGTATGCTCGTGGGAAACAGGACTACAGAGGAGGTATGCTCTTACGAAACAGGACTACAGAGGAGGTATGCTTGTGGGAAACAGGACTACAGAGGAGGTATGCTCGTGGGAAACAGGACTACAGAGGAGGTATGCTCGTACGAAACAGGACTACAGAGGAGGTATGCTCGTACGAAACAGGACTACAGAGGAGGTATGCTCGTATGCAACAGGACTACAGAGGAGGTATGCTCGTACGAAACAGGACTACAGAGGAGGTATGCTCGTGGGAAACAGGACTACAGAGGAGGTATGCTCATATGCAACAGGACTACAGAGGAGGTATGCTCGTACGAAACAGGACTGCAGAGGAGTCTTCCAGGGCCCCGTCCCTCACCTCCCCTACTACGCATGACCTGCGTCCTCCAGCAGGCCCTACCTCCTAGTTTTTACCACTTTGCAATAATGCCATCAAATTGTGAGTCCCCCAATGGAATAATCCTTTTATTAGATCAAAGCCCTCTTGGTTTAACCCCTTGTTGTTCAGACAGATCTCAAGGAGAGCCTTGAACTCCTGATTTTTCTTCCTTAGCCTCTGTAGTGCTGGGATTATAGATGTGTGCCACCAGGCACTTCTCAGAAAGAGGGAATGCTCCAAAAATTTTTTTTGAAAGATTGGGACAAATCAAAAGAACAAAACACAGAGGCCAGCCTGGTGGTACCACCACTGGTCAGGTCTGGGACCGTTTGTTTTTCAAGCAAGTAACAGTAGGGATGAATTGTGACCCCTTGAATAAAACTGGGAGCTGTGACCTGTACTGATGATGAATGGGTGGACAGGTGCTGATGGATAAAACTACAAAGTTTCTGGGGGGTAAGGGGCTGGCTATTAGTAGAAGGGTGATAAAAATAGAAATGCATTACTTGCACCAACTGAGTGGTGGTTGGTCCAGGAAGGAACTTTTTCACTGTGCCTGAGACTACCGAGTAGAAGTAGCTTACTGAAGATCTGAGTATGCATGCAACCAGGAATGTCTTCCAGAAATTCTTACTGACTTGCGGAGGAAAAAAGAATGATATGATGGGAAAATCCGGCAGACAATAAAAGCGCACATATGGTATACATAAATTCACACAGGCACACACACATAAATAATAATTCATCTTTTAAGAAATTATTAGCCAAGCATAGTGATGTGCACCTATAATCCTAACACTGGTGAGGTTGTGGCAGGCAGATCTCAGGTTCAAGGCCAGCCTAAACAAAACTAAACATTACTCTCTTCATATATGAGTCAGGTGTCATTCTGTGACATGCTGTCTTCACGGGGACTAATTGCCCACAGCTATGTTTCATCCATAAGTAATTATATCCTTAGTCCTAGGTGGGTTCCTGGCCACCTGCATACTAGCTTCTTTCCCAGCCTTCCTTGTATGTGGGTGTGGCCACGTGTCTGAATTCTGACCAATAGAATGGGAGTGAAAGTGATTATGCCATCCATATAGAAGGAATGTCTGCATTCTCCCTTCCCTTTCCTTTCCCTCTTCTCCCTGATCAGAATGCAAATGTAATGACAGGAGCCAGCATAGCCACCTGGAGGCTCGGAAAAGAAGCCCCACAGCAGAGACAATACGCCAGCTTTGGACTACCTATCTTTGTGAGAGAAAAATTAAAAACTGTTTTTGTTTAATCACTAGATATAGGGGGTGCTTGGCTATATTCTAAATGATATTTTATTTCACTACCGTTATTCCTCTTTACCAATACATATTTATGTCTTTATTTTAAATTTTATTTCTAATATCCACATTTTACAACTATACCGCTAGCAAGTAGGTCAACTAATTTTTTTTCAATTAGCTTATATGATCACTTACTTTAGTGTGTTTAAAGTCTGAAGATTATTTTTGCTACCACTACAATTGAATGAACCTCAGGCTGTCCATAGAATTTTGGGGCTACATTCTTTTCTCCTCAACATTCTTTCTCCACGGTTCCATTGTCTTGTGTCATCTAAAAGTACTGAGAAGTCTGAGGTCATCCTGTCTTCTTTGCTCAGTAGACTGCCGGCTTTATCTCTCTGGATATTTACAGTAGGCTGCTTCTCTTTTTATTCCAGTTATTCAGAGTTTCTCAAAGCCATTCTTGCCTCTCTGGCATATTTACTCAGTCTCCTGAATATGGTAAGTCCTGTTGTGTTGCCATACCGAGTGGGTCTTGTTTAGTTTCAGAAATAGCTTTTTGCTGTTGCTCCTATTTTTGTCTACTTTTGTCCAGCTGTATTCATTTTTCTCTTCAAAAGAGTGCTAGCCATGCTGGGTCAACATAACTGTCACACTAGGTGATGTCCTTCCGGTCACTGTGTCTCTCCAACCCCTCTGAGGCCATCTGTGGGATGTTCGAAAGTCTGTCATCCATACCACTGACTCATTTTTCTATTACGCCAGCTTCAGCTTCTTATGTGACTTTGAGAATTTAAGTTTTTCTTTCTTCTGTTTCTTCCTTTTTCTCTTCCCATCTTATTCTGGTTCCATCATCATCATCACATCATCATCATCATCATCATCATTATTTTATTTTGGTTTTTCAAGACAGGGTTTCTCTGTGTCACAATCCTAGCTGTCCTGGAACTCACTCCCTAGACCAGGCTGGCCTCGAACTCACAGAGATCTGCCTGTCTCTGCCTCCCAGGTGCTGGAATTAACCTTTCTTCTGTTTCTTCTTTTTTCTCTTCCCATCTTATTCTGGTTCCATCATCACCATCATCATCATTATTTTATTTTGGTTTTTCAAGACAGGGTTTCTCTGTGTCACAGCCCTAGCGGTTCTGGAACTCACTCCCTAGACCAGGCTGGCCTCGAACTCACAGAGATCTGCCTGTCTCTGCCTCCCAGGTGCTGGAATTAAAGGCGTGCACCACCACCACCCAGCTCAGTATGCTAAGAAAGAAACTTTACTAGATAAAAATAAAGGAAGAGAAAGGTGAACTCTTGGGTTAGATACTGATTTGGACAAGCCAGATGCAACAATAGTTTTAGTTGCTTTGGGAAATTGCAATGTACCCTCAGGTGAGATTAGATGAAAATATGTGAACACAAACATACTGTTGACTAAATGAAACAAGTGATTAAAAAAGTTGTGAAACAATAGAGTATGAAATCAGTTATGGTAGATATGCCTGTTAGTCTCAGTATGCGGGAGCCAGAGCCCAGAGAGTCAAAAGTTCAAGGTCATCCTCAACATAGTAAGTTCAAGCCAGTCTGACTACCTAGGACTGCATTTCAAACCAAAACCAAAACTAAAGCCTCAATATAGTATTTTGGTTTTACACATATGTATACTCATACATACAATACATAGTTATTATAATGTTCTCCAAAAATTTGGACTATTCTGGGCTTTTTTATTGTCTAAAGACTGGAGATGTAATTTAGTGATAGATCATTTACCTAGTATTTGCAAGGAACTGAATTAAATCCCCAATACAACATAGATGCACATGTGTACACACATACACATGTGAGCTCATGCATGCACACTTGCACGCTCACACATAGACATGAAGAGCTTTGTGTTTTCTAATATTCTATAGAGTCTATGTACTGCTTGTGAAAGAAAGGATGTTTTCAATTGTGACACATTTAAAGGGAGCAGGCTGACCCCAAAGGTCATGATGCTTAAGCTTAAGTTAGTTCCTCATTCACATGGGCATGCTGGGACCTCTGGACATCTAGAAATATATCTGTTTTAGAGCTACACATGTTAGCTTACTCCTGTAATCTCAGAACTTGGGAGACTGAGGCAGAAAGACTGCCAAGTCTCAAGCTCAATTGGCTACATGAAGAGGTCCAGGGCAACCTGGCCAGAATGTAATCTTGTCTGAAAAATTTTTAAATAATCTTTTTGTGTACTGAAAACAAAAGCCAAGCATCACACTTGTTAGAATTCTTCACTGAGAGTCATACCCACCAGCCTGGGGTGATTTGGGGTCATACTTTTGTGGGGGGTTTACTTTATCTTTTAAAGTCCAGGTATCTTTTTATAGTTAAAATAATAGCACTAATGATAGATTCCATTTTAACCTTTTTGGCACAGCACAGTGAAATTACTCATATTCACAGTGGTGCAGCCATCAAAAACCATCGCTCTCCAAAAGTGACTCACTTGCAATGTACCCTAAACAGAAATTCTGTTCCCAGTAAACACCAACTCCATGCTCCCTCGACCTAACCTTTAAAACATTCTTTCAGGATTTAGTGACGCACACCCTTAATCCCAGCACTTGGAAGGCAGAGGCAGGTAGATCTTTGTGAATTTGAGGACAACCTGGTCTACGGAGTGAGTTCCAGGACAGCCAAAGCTACATAGTCATACTCTGTCTTGAAAGAAAATAGAAAGGAAGGAAAGGAGGAAGGAAGACAGACAGAGCAGAGATCGACAGACAGGAAGAAAAGAAAGAAAGAGAAGGAAGGCAGGTAGACCAGACAGACAGAAAGAGAAAGTGAAAGAGAGAAAAGAAAGAGAAAGAAAAAGGAAGGAACAAGAGAAACCTTTACATAGCAAGCTTTAAGATAGACAGAAAGAAAGAGAAGGAAGGCAGGCAGAGCAGACAGACAGACAGAAAGAGAAAGAGGAAGACAAAGGAAGGAACAAGAGAAACCTTTACATAGAAGCTTTAAGATAGCCAGAAAGAGAAGGAAGGCAGGTAGACCAGACAGACAGACAGAGAAAGTGAGAGAGAGAGAGAGAGAGAGAGAGAGAGAGAGAGAGAGAGAGAAAGAGAAAGAGAAAGGAAGGAACAAGAGAAACCTTTACATAGAAGCTTTAAGAAGCACAAAGCCTGGGTCCAGCACTGTCACGGACACCCAGAAATTCTGGTCACTTTGAACATGTCCCTCCTGGAGCCACCACAGCTACCGTCATCAGATATTCAAAGAATGATGAGTATGTAACACTAGCACCACCTTACACACGGGAACACAGAAGCAGCATTTTCTAGCGCTGAAGGAAACAGTGACACTCCCCAGAAGTCACAAGTTTGTCACACTAAGGTTCAGATAGCCTGCAAATTAAACTTCATTTTCCTTATCACCTACAACTATTGGCAAATAGCACTATCATTTGCTGTAAAATTGTTCCTGAAGACGAATAGGAGTTTTATGTTGGTAGCACCAGCCAGTTTTAGGTTTGACTCAATCTAACTTTAAAAATCCGAATTTGGGCTGTGGAGATGGTTCAGTTTGCTACAGTCTCAGTCCCTGGGCCCCACATGGTGGCGGAAGAGAGCAGGCTCCCTCCAGCCTTCACAAGTGTGCTACAGTACCCCACAGATACACCCACATACAAAATAATAAGTACATGTAAAAAAAATCCCTTAATAAAAATTCAAAGTTCAGGATTGGAATGGAAGTTTTATTTCAGTGTTGGGGGGTTGGAAGGGAGATGAGAATAGGGAGTAGGAAAGAGGGCTGTCTTCTCCCTCAAATAATTCCTCACAGAAATTTTACTTGAGCTTATGTGTCTTTCAATAGATTAGTCACATAACCTTACCTAGTTGTAAGAAAAGTCACACAATGTACTCTTTATTCCACATGGCATATGTCCAAGTAAATGTCAGTAATTCCATACTACAGAAATGAACATCAAATAGATATACTAAGTATGTCTAAAAGAATTTCTTTCAAATTGAGGTTATTTCTTTGGTTTCTCTTTCTTCATTCCTTTTCATAATTGTAAACAATGTTGTGTTTAACAGAAAGAAGTGGAAGAATTGGGGTACGTTACATGGTGTTGGAAGATGGTGGGAACAAGAAGATTAGACACCTTGAAACACTTACACAATTGTTTAGCCAAAAAGTGTTGTCATAATTTTCATTCTAGACCAGTGCAAAATCCTCCTTCCACTGAAGGTCAAGGGACACCACAGAAGCCGACTTAGTGTCCCTAGTTGGAAAAGAACACCCCAGTTGTCTTTGGGATGTCTCGATGGTTACATTTGCCCAGCCCTGAATTAGCTCAGCAGGCTGTGATTTGGCTAAGTACTAACTGGAAAGGGAGCACAGCTTATTAACAACCATCACTTCGTACCATGGTTTTGGTTTCCAGGGGAATGCAAATCACAGGGCGTGGTCTATGACCCCATCCTTAGAGAATCTTACAGGGGGCGGGCACTTTCCCTCACATAGTAAGCAAAAGAAAAAGAGGAATGTGAGTTGGACATCTCCTTGCTCTCCCGGGAGTTGTAACAGGTGGTTGGGCGGGTGTAGCCTCGTGACCAGGGGAGGGCTGATGGAACCAGACCAGGAGAGCCTCATGATGCTCAGCCTCTTTATAATGAAATACAGGAATAATATCTAGGCCTGACCTTTGTATATCTGATTGCTAAACCATTTTTCTAAATTTATCACATTTGACCTTGACAGTGACACATTAACAAATCCTAGAATTTTGTCCAAGTTAGAATACTATTTCTCTTTAAACTAACTTTGAATGGTTGTCAGCCTGCTTGGTTTTTTGATCCACCCCAGGTGCAGAATTCAGATTTTTTTTATTCCTCTGGTTCTTGGGGAGATACTCTATCGCTGAGATGAGGCTATGGTGCTGTCCCTCCCAGCTGGTACCCTCCAACAGCCAGCCTTGTTGTAAGAGACTAATTACCTCTCCTGCTCCTTTAGTTTTGACTTCCTAAGGGGAAAAAATCCTGCAACTGCAACCAGCCAGCCACAGCAGGCAGAGAGCAGGCACCAGCAGCTCTCCTAGAAGCAGAAATGGTTCTTGCATGTGAGTCAGGGTACTGGGGTGGGGGCTTATGTCATGCTAAGCAGGGTGTGGGAGGTGGGCTGATGTCATACTAAGCCAAGATGTGTGGTGGTGGGGTGGCGGATTATATCATGTGAGGCTCCGAACATCAGTTCTGAATAGACATCAGATCTTCCCATCGTTGAGGATAATTTGCACCAAGAGAGAAAGCCAGCAAGATTGCTCAGCGGTGAGATGCTGTAGCAGATAGAGGCATATACCTAACACCAAGCCTGATGATCTGAGTTTGATCTGAAGACCCTGTATGGTGGAGCGGGAGAATTATGATTCCCATAATTGTTTTCTGACTTTCATATGTGCAGTGACAGTCTCACTCATGTGTGCACACACAATCATCAATCAATCAAATGAAAGTAAAGGGGGGAGCTTGAACCTCATGCTGCAGGCCTGTGTAATGTCAGGAACTGAGGCAGAAAAATGGCAAGTTCAAGTCCTGTGTGAGCTGGGGATATAGCTTGGCGGTAGGGCGGCTGGTACAGCATGTGTTGGGGCCCTGGGTTCAATCCCCAGTAAAACACACACACACACACACACACACACACACACACACACACACGAGAGATGATTGAGAGTCAGGAAAGGTCTTCCTTCTGGACAGTAGCAGAACTTCCTAACAGTCCTCACTTCCTGCCTGCCTCAGGCTTTCCCAGCAAGTTCTGTGACTGTTCCATGTAGGCCCCAGAGAAGGACTTGGGATGTCAGTGCCTAAGTGAGCAAATACAGGCTCAGGAGGAAATGGGAGGCTCCCCTGCTTCCCTTTCTTGCAGGCCTGCTGTGGTTTTTCATGATGTCATCCATTCATCATTGTGAGCTGACTGGCTGCCCCCCAGGCCTTGGCCAGCTGCCCATGGTCAGAAGGGAAGAAACAGATCCCAGGACAACTGTGCCGAGGGCCCCTGAGCATGTGCAGACATGATGACATCAGTTCCACCTAGAAAGCCTTGGTGGAATTCGAAGAAGACTGTAAAAGTTATAAGATCTTATCCAACCTTCCCTTCCTTGAATGCCTGGGAAAAATTCAGGGGCCTCTTGCCTGTGGATGGGGAGCCGAACCCAGGAGTGGGCCTGGGTGTGGAGGAAGGACTTCTGTGCCAGATGGTTCATTCTCCAGAGTTCAACCTGTTTCCCAACTCCGTGGTGTTTGAAAGCAACTTTGTCCAGGTACTCTTGGGTGCCTCAGAACAGCCAGCACTCCTCGGTCCCTCTAAACCTAGTCCTAAGATGGGACCAAAAGAGTTATCCTTAGAACTGCGGTGGAAGATAAACTCCGGCAGGAGAGCTGGAGGGCCTGAGACACAAGGCTGATCAGGGTTTCTCCTGTAAGCCTACACCCAACCAGGAAGGTCAGGCATCCTGGGCTGAGTGCAGGATTGGGCACTGGAACCCTAATTTATTCCACTTTCCGGTCTGTCACCTGACACCAAGTGAAGGTGGTATAAGGAGATGGCCTTGGAGGACTAGGAACACAAGTACTGGTTGGCAAAGAATAGGACCTCGGGACTCAGAAGCCTGGGCTCAGAGTCCAGCGTCTGCTCACTAGCGGGGAGGTGCCATTGTGCACGTGACCTGTACAAGTCCGTTTAAACACAGCAAGCAAGTACATGGTCTAGGGGGCCCTCTGTGTGCTTTTATCTCCTGGCCTGGGCTCCCCTTACACCAGACAGAACCTAAAATCAATGGAAGGACCACAAAGACGACTGTTTTCAAAACAAGGCCAGGAAGCTGTCAAGGGAGGATCCACAGACACAAAGTGGACGCTAAGGAACTCCTAGGTCACTGTTGCTCTTGTGTTAACAGTAGGTCCTGTAAATTCTATTAGAGAAATCCGAGTGGCAGCTCATGCCTGTAATCCCAGCACTCAGGAGGCTGAGGCAGGAGGACACGCTTGAAAATGAGTCTAGCCTGGGCTGTAGAGTAAGACCCAGTTTTGTTTCGTTTTGTCTTGTTTAAATAGCTAAAAAATTTTTTAAACACCCATAAAACTCACTAGAGTTTTAAAACCAATACAGGTTAGAATACTTGTCAAAAAGCAATGATTAAGCCCTCATTTCCAAGGAACATTTGGCAATATCTGAGGACATTTTCAGTTGTCAGAATTTAGGTGGGAGTTTGCTATGGGCATCCAGGGGACAGAGGCCAAGGGCACAGCTAAACACTCAACACAGCATAGCCTTCCTCCCACAAAGAAGGTAAGTGGCTACAGTCCTTTATTCCCAGGACTTAGGACGCAGAGGCAAAAAGACCTTTGTTCTCTGGTTCTAATCTACTTAGCAAGTTCTAAGGCCATCAAGAGCTATCAAAAGCAAAAATTAGTTCTGAGTGAAGCAACTTGGCTAAAACATCTTGGGGCTTTTGCCAAATGCTCAGGCTGGGCCTGGGGGCTGCATTGCAGGTCAGAAGGAGCAGGCATTGGAAAGAAATCTACAAAGCCTCCAACACGCTGGCTCTTGGGGTGACCTCCTCTGTGCCTTGCCTACCCCTTCCCAACGTCCTCCTCATGGCCAGAGTCAAATGGCATCACGGGCAGAGCCAGACATGGAACAGACCATCCACAGCCCCGAGCATCATCCTGAAGAGGTAAGCAGCACAGATGGGAATGGGGGATGGGATGAGGGGGGTAAAGGGCAGGCTGAGGTGGGAACTCAAGATGAGGAGGAACTGAGAAGTCATTGCAGTGACATTAACTGGAGTTTAGTTTTAAACAAAATCTTTTATAGCCCAGGCTGGCCGTGAACCCACTATTCAGTCAAAGCTAGCCTTGAACTCTTGATCTAGCTGCCTCTTCCTCCTGAGTGCCTGGATTCCAAACATGCACTATGTTACTCAGTTACTAACTGCTCTAGATTATAGTACCCTGAGATAAGGCGCGCGGGGGGGGGGGCTGGGGGCCTGGAGGCTGGGGGCTGGGGGCTGGGGAGTGAGTTCAATCAGTAAAGTTCCTGTTATGCAAACATGAGGAGACCTGAGCTTTATCCCCAGAACCCATGTTAGAAAGGAAGGAAGGGAGGGAGGGAGAGGAGGGGGAAGAGGAAGGAAGGAAGGAAGGAAGGAAGGAAGGAAGGTTATAGTGGTACACATGTGTAATCCCAGCACTGGGAGGTATTGATGGGTGGATTCTTAGGGTTTGCTGGCCACCCAACCTAGCCTAACTAGTAAGTTCCAGGGTTAGTGAGAGACTCCGATGAAAATGAAACAAAAACAAGCAAACAAAAACAAGGTGGATAACACTCAAGGAATGAGACTTGGAGTTAACCTCTGACCTCCATATGCTTGTGCATACACATGTACATATACCTCCCCCAAAACACACATACACAGATAGGTGGGGGCTGGAGAATAGATGTCTCGTGGGAAAATGGCATGACGTGCGTGAGCATCTGAGTTTGGATCATCAGCGCCCATGCAGAAAGCCAAGTATGATGCATGCTGTAACGCCAGGAACAGGATGAAGAGGAGAAGGAGGAGAGGTGGATCCTAGGGACCAGCCAGCTAGTCTAGCCAAATGAAAAACCGTAAGCTCTGGGTTCAGTGAGAAATGTCTGGATAATTTTGGTGGGTTTTGAGTGACTGTCCTCCCAACTCACTAGCCCACTTCCTTCCTCTTGAGTGCCCCTTTAAAAAAATCTATTAATTTTGTTTTGTGCATGTGAATTTTTGCCTGCTTGTACATCTGTGTGCCCTGTGTGTGCCTGTGGAGGTCAGAAGAAGGTGTCAGATCCTCCGGAACAGGAGTTACAGTTATGAGTCACCATGATTGCCTCTGACCAAACAAGGGCTCCTTTTCTTTCTTAAACTGTCCCTTTAAAAGGATGGTTGAGGCTGGACAGGTGGATCACTGGTTAAGAGCACTGGCTCCTCTTCCATAGCAATTAACAACTGTCTGAGACTCCATTCTCGGGGGATCAGACATTCTTCTGGATTCGGTGGGCACTGCACACATGTGCTGCACAGCCATAATGCACACAAAATCCCCACACACATCACAAATAATACATTAAAATAAAATTTCAAACTGGACATGATAACACATGCCTTTAAATCCAGCACTGGGGAGGCAGAGGCAGGTGGATCTCTGTGTGTTCTAGGCCAGCCTGGTCTACATAGTAAGTTCCAGGACAGCCAGGGCTACACAGTGAACCCTTGCCTCAAAAAACCAAACATTGCTTTTCTCTTTTTTTAAATTAATTCATTTTTTACATTCCACAAACATTTTTTTAAATAGTGGGCAGCAATGGAGGAAGACAGTGGCATTGACCCCTGGCTTCCATACACAAGCACATGCATGGGCAAGCTCACACCTGACAAACACGCTTGCATATAACACACACAAGTCAGGTGAGACCAGACAGGTCTTTCACCGGAAGGACAGAGTATCTTGTGCGAAAGTAAGCTTTGCATGGACAGGAGTGGGGGCTAGTCTCCAAGCACACTTGCTTCACTCTTCTGTTTTAGCAGGGAACCTCTGAGCCTCTGGTAAAGACGTTAACGAGGCCCTGAGACCTGGCAGTTGGAGAGCTACTGGGAAGAGGCATGTTCTTTTCAGTCCTGGGTGTGCAACTAGTTAGATTGCTGTATCACAAGTCACTGGCTGTAAAATGAATTGCCTAAGTCCCACTTGGGGCTGTAGTGTATAGTAGCATGATGTTTGGGGTAGAACGGCCCTTCCTGATGCTCCATTTTCCTTTCTGTTGCTGTGATAAAATGCCCCAATGAAAAGCAGCTTAGGAGAGAAAGGGTTCATTTTGGCTTCAAGTTTCAGGGAGACAGAGCCTGCTGTGGCAGGGAAGGGGTGACATGGTGGCAAGAACAGGAAACTGGCTGATCGTGTTGCATCTAAACCGGAAACAGAGAACAGGAAATAAGGTCTGGCTATAAAACCCCAGTGCTGCATTTCCTTCAACAAGGCTCCTCCTTCCAAAGGTTCCATAACCTTCTCAAAATGGCACCATTAGCTGGGGACCATGTGTTCAAACTAATAAGCCTCTGGGGACATTTGACATGCAAGCCACAAAAGGCCTCCTTATCCAACATGTAAATCATCTCAAGAATCTCTAGATGTTACCAGAAGTCCAGGAGACCCTTTCATCGCTCCAAGCTACCTCATGGCAGAGCTCCCCATTCTGATGTTGGTAGACCTGTAGCAAGTACTCCCGCCGCCGCAGGTGACTAATGTTATGTTAGATCTAAGTCAGGTCCTTGAGCCAGCTTGTTTGGGCAGCCTTGGAGCCATGGAAGTATTACAATGGATGAGCAAGCTGTGCAGGTGACTCAGCTCCTTTGTATTTTCAAGGGAATGTCAAATCCCATGTGTTTGGCCGCCTTGCTCCTGAGCTACAGCTGTGGCACAGGACCCAGGGAACACTGGCATGAGAATCATGGCGGAGTGAGAGAGGCAGGTCCCAGGGCTCAGCCCAGACCTGTTGAATCTGAATCTTTGGGATTATCTTTGAAAGTCTGCATCTTAATTAACTGCACCAGGGAGCTCTGCTTTCCCTAGGGTCTAGCACCACTGGCCAAGAGCTCTCTTTCCTCCCCCTAAGAGCCTCCACCCTTGGGGAGACACATCAAAAGTGATGGGGCTGTCCAGGTGTCTTCTTCTGTATCCTTAGAATTCTCCCTTTGAAGTTTGTGGAGCTCCAGATCTGTGACCACCATGAACGCATCCTGAGGTTGAGGACAGTCACCGAGAAGATCTACTTCCTAAAGCTCCACCCTGACCATCCTGAGACTGTCTTCCTTTTTTGGATCCGCCTGGTTCAAATTCTGCAGAAGGGTCTGTCCATCACCACCAAGGACCCTAGCATCCTTGTCACTCACTGCCTGGTACCCAAGAGCCTCTGCAACCCATGTGGGAAGTCTGGGGTAAGAAATCTCCTTTTGCCAGCCTTCAGATTTGAGCTGCTGCTGAGTGCCCTGAGTAGGTGCCCTCAGCTTTAACTTTCTTCCCGACACGGTAGCATTTGTAAGCACCAAGCACCCTAAGTACATATGGAACACAGTTGTGCGACTGCCAACCATCACCACAATTCACAGAAAATGAACAAGACGGAAAGGGTTTGCTTTTGCTTGTTTTTTTTGTTTGTTGTTGGTTTTTTTGTTTGATTTTTTAGTTTGACTTTTTGAGATAGATCTCATGTAGCCCATGCTGGGTTCAAACTCTTTATGTAGTCAAAGCTGGCCTTGAAATCCTGAGCCTCCTTTTTCCAGCTCCCAAGTACTAGGATTACAGGCATTGTTCTACCATGCCAGGCCAAAAGAAACTTTTCTGATATACAAGTGTGTGCACACGCATGTGTATTGGATGGCTGTATACACTGTGGGGGCTTGCAGAGGCCAGAGGAAAACTTCACGTATAATCTTCTATTGTTCTTTGCCTTATTCCTTTTAGATAGGGTATTTTGCTGAACCTGGAGCTTGAGGGATTTTTGCTAGGCTGGGGTCAACAAGCCCCAACAGTTCTCCTATCTCTGCTCCTCAACTCTTCACCCCCAGTGCTAGGGTTAGAGGTGTGCACTGCTGTGGATGGATCTCTATGTGGATGCTAGGGATCTGAACTCAGATCCTAATTCTTTTTTGGTTTTGTTTTGTTTTTGGTTTTTGGTTTTTGGTTTTCGAGACAGGATTTCTCTGTATTGTTTTGGAGGCTCTCCTGGAACTCGATCTGTAGACCAGGATGGTCTCGAACCCACAGAGATCCACCTGTCTCTGCCTCCCGAGTGCTGGGATTAAAGGTGTGCGCCACCAACGCCCGGCCAGATCCTAATTCTCTCACAAGCACATTTACCCACTGAGCCATCTCCCTAACCCATGTGGGAGGTTTTCTTTTCCATTCTCTATTATTACCATCTCTCCCCCTCCCCTCTCCCTTTCTCTCTCCCTCCCTCCCCCAACCGTGTGTGTGTGTGTGTGTGTGTGTGTGTGTGTGAAACACACATGTGCCATGGCACAGATATCCTCAGGTGTCAATCTTCATCTTCCTCCTTACTTGCCACAGGGTCCCTTGTCCTCCTCTGTGCACTCCAGGCTAACTGGCCCTTGACCTCCTGTGGAGTCTCCTGTCTCTGGTTCCCATCTCACCGCAGGAGCTCTGGGGTTTCATATATGAAATAGTGCCTCTGGCTTCACGTGCATTCTGAACATCAAGTTCTTTGCTCATTGACATCCTTTTGCTATCTTTTCCTTTTTTTTTTTTTTCTTCTCTTTTTTCAGAGCTGAGAACTGAACCCAGGGCCTTGCCCTTGCTTGGCAAGCATGCTACCAAGGAGCTAAATTCCCAAACCAGCCAGACTTTTGTTAAAAGTATCCCTACATAATTCTTTGTTGGTGGTGTTCTTGTGAATGTAACCATGGGAGTTTTGTTTCGAGGAAGGATCCTGCTCTAGAACCCAGGATGTCCCACAACTCCAGATCCTCCTACTTTAGGCTCCAAGTGCTTGGTTACAGGCCTGAGCTACAATATGGCCTTGGAACTGTGGAGGGTGTTGTGTCTGTTTAAGACAGGCTCTCATTATCCATTTACTCACGCCTTTTGAGTTATGGTCCAAGATATCAGGCTTGCTCAACAATGTAAGTTTGGCAAACTGCTTAAGAGTAGGTTGTTTTCTCTCTTCCTCCTTCCCTCTTTCTTTCTGTCTGTCTCTGTCTCTTTCTCACTCTCCTCTCCCTTCCCTTCCCCCAATAAAACTCCCCATATTAAAAATAAATAACAGCTGGGCATTGGTGGCACACGCCTTTAATCCCAGCACTCAGGAGGCAGAGGCAGGTGGATCTCTGTGAGTTCTAGTCCAGCCTGATCTACAGAGCGAGTTCCAGGACAACAGCTTCCAAAACAATACAGAGAAACCCTGTCTTGAAAAACCAAAATAAATAAGTAAGTAAGTAAATAAATAAATAACAGGTTGTGGGGCAGAGTCCTCAAAGAAACAGTGAGAAAGCCCAGAGTGTTGGCTTTGAGCTTTGGCTTTTGGTGATACATGAAGAAGAGATTGTAGAGGAAATATAACAGTGCACTATGGATGCCGTTGGTTATTTATTGTGGCAAACTGCTTACGTGAGAAACTGAAAACCCACTTTAGTCTCCGCAGCCTTTAGAGAGCCGGCTGGAACCCCGAAAGAGAGCAAGTGCCCCTCTCCTCAGCCCTTCATTCCACACAGCCCGTACGCACCTGTGGTCATGCCCAAAACAGGCGTGGTCAGCACCACAGGTACCTAGATCTCTCCCTACGAGAGAAACAGAAAAGGAAAAGTTGCACTTTCTGCGGCAGAACACAGAAGAGTGAGTGGGCCTCACCAGGAAGCTCTGCAAGCCACGGATGGTGGGGGGTGGGGAGGCTTCTGGGAAGTAAAAGTACACTGTTTTATTAATGGCGTGATTATTCTCCCCATCTCCCAGTATGTCTTTAGGTGGACCGTATTTCCCGGGCCCCTTGGGGAGGGTCCCTGGAACTTGCTGATCAGCCAACTGGGCAGAGTCAGTGAGAGCCAGACCAGCAAAAGGCTTGTCTTAAACTATCAGGTGGGAAATGATCGAGGTTTGAAAACATTGTGTTGACATGTAGCCTCTGTATGTGTGCTCATGAGTGTGCATGTGCACCTACATGTACATACATACACACATAAACAGGTACAAATGCACTACATACCCACAAAGCAACTGCATATAGGACTTTTCTTAGAGGAATTAGTTTTTTAAATATTACTTTCCATAATATATACATTTAAGTATAAAAACAAGTAGCATCAGCTATTAAAATTCATCTTAACAAGTTAATAATACTAAATCTATGTTGGCAAGTGTGCAATGAAGACCTTATCTTTAAGGTACCAAAGGATATTGATACCAGACATTGAGCTACCAACAAAGAGAACTGCTCCCATAAGCAGCTGGTCTGGCTGCCTAATGGGAGAGGTTGGGGCCTGATGTTTCAGAGTCTAGAGTTTGGTGTTAAGAAAACTCAGAGAGGCCAAGTCTTAACCTGCTGTGTTGTTTTGTTTGCTCTTTCTCCGTATAGTTAGCGCGGAAGAAACCTAAAGGTCCCCGGCCCAGTGAGAGCCTCATGCAGCTGATGGCCCAGGGGGAGAGTGAGGCGCTCTCGCAGATCTTTGCCGACTTGCATCAGCAGAAACAGTACAGGTACATGGTTTAAATCAGGCTAGCCTGCACTACCCTTTTCCCTAGCCTGGAAGGTACCAGCAGTGAGACCCTAGGTAAAGAAGCAGTTAGGGACGTGACACACTGTCACACAGTGCCTGGTCTATGAACAATTTTTGGAGTTCCCATTGCCTTAGTCTCTATCTCCACACAGCAAGCAAGGTAGGCCTGACTCCAGAGGAGTATACAGAAACAAAAACACTTCTTCAGCAATAACAATGAGTTAGCAACAGGCATGGAAGAATGAAAGCTAGATTCCGATCCAATATCTAATTCTATAGCGGCATAACCACATTGCTTTAAACTCTGCCGTGTCCTGGGTTCGTTTCCCTATTGACTGGGCTTCTGTTTGGACGTTATAGAGCGCCTGAGGTTGTCCCTAAAGTATAGTCTCCTGGGAAGCTCCAGGGTACAGGCCTATCTTCTCCATGCCTGGAGATGTCCCTGAACTTACAGATGATCTGGTGTGATATGAGAGACAGGAAGCTGGGTGTGGTGACTCATATCTGTCATTCCAGCACTGTGAAAGCAGACGGTTTCAAAGTTGGGGCTAGCCTGGGCTACAGAATGAGTTTCAGATTAGTCTGGGTTACAAGCAGAGAAGGAAAACCACAAATGAATTAGTAAATATCACCAGGAGAGAAAAATGAAGGAACTCTTTTTTTGTTTGTTTGTTTGTTTGTTTTATTATTTTTTTGTTGTTTTTAGAGACAAGGTTTCTCTGTGGCTTTGGAGCCTATCCTGGAACTCACTCCGTAGACCAGGCTGGTCTCAAACTCACAGAGATCCGCCTGCCTCTGCCTCCCCAGTGCTGGAATTAAAGGCATGCACCACCAACGCCTGGCCTAAGAAGGAACTTTTAAAAATATAGGATCTCATGTAGCCCAGATTGGCTTCAAATTCTCTGTGCAATCAAGAATAATCTTGAATTCCTGATCCTCCTGCCTCCAAGAAAATGGGTGCCACCATTCCTGACACACAGAAGAGAGATAGCCCCTCCCTCTGGCTTGGGAATTGAATTTAGGGCCTCAAGTGTCCTAAGCAAGGGGCCTACCACTCAGCTACATACCAAACCAAACGGAGGGGTTTTTTCCATAATCGGAACCAGTTAGAGTAGCCCAGAGGCAAACCGAATAGTGCTGAGGTAAGCTGACAAGCAAAAGGGTCCAGAGAAAGTGTACTCTCTTACTGTTTGAAGGCTCATAGACCAGCTGCATCAGGATACTGTTGGGATTATGTGAGCTCATAAGCATCAAGCACTTAGCATGCTGTTTGTCAGATTAGGAAGCAGATGTGACTGAGAGCTCAATAAACATTAATGTGTATTACTAATTGTCTTGAGAAAGGTTGAACAGTTTGTACAAAAGATTGTTACTGTATATAACATACATAAAACTATAATTAAGAAATGTTTACATAGAATGTCATATTCTGGATCATAGTGGCTTACATCTTTGGGGGAGGCAGAGGCAGGCAGATAGATCTCTGTGAGTTCAAGGTCAGTCTGGGCCACAGAGTGAGTTCCAGCTCTGAAAAGCCAGAACTACACACTGAACCCCTGTCTCAAAAGACACAAAAATAAAACAAAACAAAAGAATATCATATTCTGAATTAATGCTGAATTCTAATAGAGCAAAGGTATACAGAAGCAAGTTTTGAACTGTATCAAATTATTAAATCACTGATTTTGTAGCACAGCAGGCCTGAAACTTGTTAAGTAACTAGTGAGAAGACCTTTAACAGGCTTCTTTGGGTTTTTTGTTTTTTCTGAAACAGGCTATGCTGGTTCAGAATTCAGGGTCTTCCTGACTGGGAATATAGACATGACCACAATCCCCAGCTAATTTAATATTTATAGGATACTGTATTAGCTACTTTTCTATTGTTGTGATAAAACACCATGACCAAGGCAGCTTATATACAATGAGATTTATTTGGGCTTATGGCTGCAGAGTAATAAGAGCCCACCATGGCTAGGAGACGTAGCAGCTAGGGGCAGGCATGGAAGCATGGCAGCATAAACAGGAAGCTCACATTTTCAAATGCAAGTACAAAGCAGAAGGATCTAACTGGAAGTGGACAAGGCTTTTAATCCCAATGCCCACCTCCTGTGACACACTTCCTCCTACAAGAGTACCTAAACCTCTCCAAACAGGGCCATCCACTGGGGACAGCATGTTCAGATACTCAAGCCTCTGAGAGGGAGGGGGAGACAGAGGGAGAGAGGAGAGGGAGAGGAGAGAGGAGGAGAGGGAGAGGAGAGAGGGAGAGGAGAGAGAGAGAGAGAGAGAGAGAGAGAGAGAGAGAGAGAGAGAGAGAGAGAGAGAGAGAGTGTGTGTGTGTGTGTATTTCTCATTCAAACCACCAGAGACCCTCTTGCATATCTCTCATGCTGTTACTGGCTGTAACTTAGTCCCACAAACCAAATTAGCTGCAAGGGAGGCTGAGACAAAAATTATGTGTTCTCAGGCTGAGATGGGGGGTACTTGCCTGTAATCCCGATACTCAGGAGGCTAGGGCAGGAAGATTCCTGTGGGTTTGAAGCCAACCTAGGCTAATCTGGAAAGGAAAAACGGAAGTGGGTTACTGGGAGTCTACCTCCAATCTCCAAGCCTTTAATTCTGCAAAGTTGGAGGGAGCTAAGCCCCGAAAGAGAAATAGGTCCTAGACAAACAGAAGGGGGAAGGTAGAGAGCCAGGCAGGTTAAAGAAACAAATGGCGGAGGCTTTTCTGTCCAGAGGAAGAAACTTGGTGGGTTTAGGGAAAGAGCAAGAAGACCATTGAGTCAGAGACCATGGAGAATCAGGCAGAGGCCCGGCCAAGCACGGCCTGAGGAGCCATGTGGAGGAGGTTGCACCTTCAGTGGAGGGGAGCCTGAGCTGCAATTTACTCATGGAGGTACTTTCATCTAATTTACATTTGGAAAAGGCCACTCTAGCTGTTGCTGTGACAATTCACTGGAAGGGAAGAAGAGACTCAGAGAGACCAGATAAGCAGCTAAACTGGTCTGGACTGGCATGTGTAAAATGGGCCAGGGAGACTCAAGAAAAGAAGCGGAGGAGTATCACGTCTATCTCCTTGTTGTCTCAGTAGCTGCTGTGTACAGACATTTAGCTTCCTCGATTTTCTGGAACAAAGTCCCAGGGGATGATGCTTTAGATTCAGGCTGGTTGCACTCACTACCAGGCTTTGCTCATTAACAGCGACATGCCACCAAACAGTAAATAGCATGCATGGCTGAGATGCAAGATCCAAGAGAGGGTCACAGCCCTCCTCCCCTGACAAATCAGAGCCATGGGCTCTGGCCCCTTCCTCCTCCATCCCCTCCCTTTCCCCTTTCTCTTCTGGAAACATAATATGCATCACACCCACCCAGTGTAGCCACAGCTGGTCTTTTCCATATTTATATCTGTCTCTAAATCTTTTGCATCAGGAAAAGTCTAACTAGGGATAAGCTTTGAAATATGACTGTAGAGTGCTTGCCACAGCACTCAAGAAGCCTGGGTTTGATCTGCAGCACTCCATAAACCAGGGATGCTGGTGCATGCCTGTAATTCCAGCGCTCAGAGGCAGAAGGGTCAGGAGTTCAGAGTCATCATCAGTTACATAGTGAGTGTGAGGCCAACCTTAGAGCCACCAGACCGTGTCTCAAAAGAACAAAACAAACAAAAACCCAAAAAACAAACAAAACCCACTTGAGTTCAATATTCTTTCTCTTTAACTTTTGATCTTCGTTTCCTTGACCCTGAAATGACTGGAGTTCCAGGAGGAGCAAAGAGATGCAGATCAACACGACCAGCTCAGGTAAGCAAGGGCGCATGGGTGCGAGCCAGGGAGAGCTGGCTGCTGTTTGGTATAGGACTCAGGTCCCTTCACCATGCCCCCTCTGGCCTTCTGGATGCCATCAGGAGTGCCACAGTATCCCCATGCCACAGTGGGTATCTCTCTGGGGCTCTTTGGCCACCAAAGTCAGTTTGACACCAAGTCCTGCTCATCTGTTTCTTTGAGACATTTCTATGGTCTTCATTTCCAGTTCCACAAATGACCCTCGCCAGTCCTTTCCCCCTGACATCTGCAGTATCCATTTGATCCACTGACTTGTTCAGAAGCCTGCACCAGAGGCTCTCTAAGTGCCACACTGCCTTCCCTCGGGGGCATGGAGTCACACGGGTGCACACCAAAATTATAGAACCTCCTTCCGAGACAGCGTTCAAGGTGCACGCTGGGGTGCCAGAGGCAATAAAGGTAGAGTTCTTCACTCCTTCCATGTCATTGCCATATGTGATAGGACCAGGAGAGATGGGGCGCATGAGATCATGTGAGAAAATTCCAGAAGCAGCAGCTGGTTCCGTTTCCAATTCTAATCTACCCTGAGTCTTCTGGAAGTGGTCCCTCACCAGCTTCCCCACCTTCCCTGCTCACCGGATTCCATGTCTACTCCAGCCACATCTGTTTCAGTCAAATTTCAACCATGCTTCCTCATAGCTTAGCTATGCCCCCACCCACTTCCTTCCCCTGAGGAGCTACTCTAAAATCCATCTGTCCTAAACCCTGTACCTCATGTTCCCGCCAAGACCTACCTTTCGTCCTCGTAACCTCTCACACTCTTCTCTGGTTCTCTTATAGGCTTAAGGCTTATTTCTTAATGAGTGTTAAATTGCAGCCATGCCTCTAAGTCATCTACAGCCGCAAGCACAGCGCTGGGGACACAATGGGAGTTCAATAAATATGTGGACCTAAGACCATTGACAAATTAATTCTCCACGCTGGCTCAGAGCCAGCCAGCCACACACATCACGCTGCATGCTGAAATGTAGGGGAGACTGTAGATCTTAGAAGGGCTAGGATCCAAATCAGAGCTTTTTACGTACTCATATATCTATAGGTGGAATAAATGGATAAAGGTCTGAGGGAATATGGGCAAAAGGAATGGTTGACTCTTACGATATTTAAAACAACTGTTGCCAGAGTTGGAGAGATGGTTCAGTGGTTAAGAACACTCTCTGCTCTTGCAGAGGACCCAGGTTCAATTCCCAGCTCACAACTGAATGTAACTCTAGTCCCGGGAGACCTGACACCCTCTTCTGGCCTCCATGGGCAGCAGGCATGTATGTGGTATACAGACATACATGTAGGCAAAATAGTCATACACACAAAATGGAATAAGTAAATCTAAAAAATAAGCTGGTAGCAACTGACCCCGTTTTCAACACTAAGAAGACAATCTAGAGTGGTGGAGACAGAGGCAACCAAAACAGTGACTGTTTTAGCTAAAGCTTGATTAACTGCTGCTATGCTGACACATAGCCTGGTATTGCCGGATACTCTTGATGTTTTTTTCAAGAGAAGCCCCAAATCTGAATATTTTGGGGGGAGGGGTTCAAAACAGGGTTTCTCTGTGGTTTTGGAAGCTTGTCCTGGAACTCTCTTTGTAGGCCAGGCTGGTCTTGAACTCACAGAGATCTGCCTGCCTCTGCCTCCCGAGCGCTGGGATTAAAGAAGTGTGCCACCACCGTGCAGCTTGAATTTTTAAGTATACTCTGTAAAAAGGAAGTACAGCATACACTAAAGCCTAGCGGGCGAGACAGATGTGCTGAAGGGGAGGCTGCATTCAGACTGAAGATGGAGATGGAAGCTTCCAGCTCCTAAGCCCTGGCAGGTGAGCTGGGCCTCACTTCCTCCACATCTGTGACTGCTTTCACACGTGCCGTGACCTTTGACACGATGCCAAGCAATGTTTCTGTTTTTATATGACATTCAAGCACATTCACAAGCACACACACTTGAAAATATTCTACGAGGTTAGGAAAGCAGAATGCTCAAGAATATTTCTAATGAGTGCTAGCGCTGGAGGGAAAAGGCTTAGAAGTTCAGGGTAGCCAATCAGGTGTGGTGGTATGTACCTGTCATCACAGTACTTGGAAAACTGAGTTGGGAGAAATGCCTCGAGTTTAAAGTCAACCTGGTCTAAATGGCAAGTTACAGGATAGCCTGGACTACAGAGAACCTTACTGGAGCCTCAAACAACACCAAAAGGAATTCAGGATATCTGATGTTGGAATATTCTCAGGCTGATGTTAGTGCTCCATGCTGGGATGTTCTCTGTACCTTGACCAGGTAGAAAAGAGAAGTTGCATGCTAGGCTCTTGGGACTCTTGCTGTCTCCTACTGAACAATGCTCTAAACCCTCTATTGGAACTTCTAGATTTAAAAATAAAATAAGATGGAAAGAAGGGCAGGAAAATAACTCAGTAAAGTACTTGCCTTGTAAGAATGGGGACCTGAGTTTGACCACCAGAACCCGTGGGGCTTCAGAAATTGTCTCGGTTGTTGAGAATGCATATTGCCCTTCCAGATCTGAGTTTGGTTTCTAGCATCTACTTTGTGTAGCTCAGAACTATCTGTAACTCCAGCTCCAGAGGGAGGAGGGGGATCGGATGCCTCTGGTCTCCGGCAGAACCTCCATTCACTTGTACCTACTCACACAGGTGCACACACAGAGGCACTCATGGACACATGCATGCACTCGCAGTTAGACATTGCGGTGTATGCCTTTAATCCCAGCCCTTGGGGAGGGGGGCAGGGAGAGAAGGAATTTGGAGCGCAAGACCAACCTTGGCTGCACAGAGTTGAGGTGGATAGGCATTGGATAGGGTCCAAACTCATCCTCGACAACCAGAGGCCCAAAGTTCACCTGTGTGTCCCCATTAGCAGGCTCACAAGTCAACCCTTGGTCTTGTTAAAATGCTATTTCTAATTTGTTAGACCTGGACATAAGGTCTTGAAGCCAGGCATTTCTAATATGATCCCAACCGATGCCATGGTTTGGGTTACATTTTGAATAGCCAGGGGCAAAGGGTCTAATAGGCTCTGGCTTTGCTCTTCTGGTTTCAGGTCACTGTTAGTTTAGCTGACTGAATATCCTTGGGGAGATTTACTCAGCTAACCTGTCCCAACCACAATGTTTCTCACCATTTACTCAACATGATGTAGTGGTTAAGAACCGCTCTGCTCAACATGATGGAGTGGTTAAGAACCACTCTGGAGAGAGCTTGGTTGAGTTTTCATATTGACACTGCCACCTCATAATGTGGCCATTAGTGAAGTAATCAGCCTCTATGGACCTCAGAGTCCTTATCTCTAAAATGGGGATTGCGGGAGATTTGCCACCAATAATGAAAACAAGAATGTGTTAATTGTCTGACATGTCTGTGTATAATAGCTTCCTCTCCCCACAACTATTGGCTATTAGCTTCCAGAGTGCTCTGTGAGCCATAGTGCAAATGCATTCCTTTTCTTAACTAGAGAAAACTACTCCCAGTGAAGACAGTATCCCCTGTACCCGCGATCTCAGTTGGAGGGATGCGTTCACTTACGGAGAGTGGGAAAGAGAGAACCCCTCTGGGCCGCAACCCCTCTCGCTCCTCGGCACTCTGGCTGCCTCCAGCAGGCCACGGCTGTCCCTAACTGGAGGTACGGTGGTGATGGGATTGATCTGGTGATGTCATGGGACAGGCTGGAGTTCAAGCTCAGAATTGGGGCCGTGTCCTAGGGCCCTCAGGGTGATTCCAAATCCTGTGTATAGAGGATGGGCTGCCGGCCACAGTGAGTGAAGTTCTAAAGTTTGGAATCTCCAGAGACTCCAGAGTCCCCACAAGTGACACTGAAGGGCAGACTGTCCAGTGGGCGCTCCTGAACTGGGGCCTTCTCCTGCTGTGTGAGGGGCAGAGGGGCCTTCTCCTGCTGTGGGGACAGAGGGGCTTCTCCTGCTGTGTGTGGGGGCAGAGGGGCCTTCTCCTGCTGTGTGTGGGGGGGCAGAGGGGCCTTCTCCTGCTGTGTGGGGGCAGAGGGGCCTTCTCCTGCTGTGTGGGGCAGAGGGGCCTTCTCCTGCTGTGTGGGGGGCAGAGGGGCCTTCTCCTGCTGTGTGGGGCAGAGGGGCCTTCTCCTGCTGGGGGGGGCAGAGGGGCCTTCTCCTGCTGTGTGGGGGGCAGAGGGGCCTTCTCCTGCTGTGTGTGGGGGCAGAGGGGCCTTCTCCTGCTGTGTGGGGGGCAGAGGGGCCTTCTCCTGCTGTGTGGGGCAGAGGGGCCTTCTCCTGCTGTGTGGGGCAGAGGGGTCTTCTCCTGCTGTGTGGGGTAGAGGGGCTTCTCCTGCTGTGTGGGGCAGAGGGCCTTCTCCTGCTGTGTGGGGGCAGAGGGGCCTTCTCCTGCTGTGGGGGGCAGAGGGGCCTTCTCCTGCTGTGGGGGGCAGAGGGGCCTTCTCCTGCTGTATGGGGTAGAGGGGCTTCTCCTGATGTGTGGGGTAGAGGGGCCTTCTCCTGCTGTGGGGGGGTGGGCAGAGGGGCCTTCTCCTGATGTGGGGGTGGGCAGAGGGGCCTTCTCCTGCTGTGTGGGGTAGAGGGGCCTTCTCCTGCTGTGTGGGGTAGAGGGGTCTTCTCCTGCTGTGTGGGGTAGAGGGGCTTCTCCTGCTGTGTGGGGTAGAGGGGTCTTCTCCTGATGTGTGGGGGCAGAGGGGCCTTCTCCTGATGTGGGGGGCAGAGAGGTCTTCTGCTGTGTGTGTGTGGGGGCAGAGGGGCCTTCTCCTGCTGTGTGGGGGCAGAGGGGCTTCTCCTGCTGTGTGGGGTAGAGGGGCCTTCTCCTGCTGTGTGGGGTAGAGGGGTCTTCTCCTGATGTGTGGGGGCAGAGGGGCCTTCTCCTGATGTGTGGGGGAGAGGGGCCTTCTCCTGCTATGTGGGGGGGCAGAGGGGCCTTCTCCTGATGTGGGGGCAGAGGGGCCTTCTCCTGCTGTGTGGGGGCAGAGGGGCCTTCTCCTGCTGTGTGGGGGGCAGAGGGGCCTTCTCCTGCTGTGGGGGGGCAGAGGGGCCTTCTCCTGCTGTGTGGGGTAGAGGGGCTTCTCCTGTGTGGGGTAGAGGGGCCTTCTCCTGATGTGGGGGGGCAAAGGGGCATTCTCCTGATGTGGGGGGGCAGAGGGACCTTCTCCTGCTGTGGGGGGGGCAGAGGGGCCTTCTCCTGCTGTGGGGGGGCAGAGGGGCCTTCTCCTGCTGTGTGGGGTAGAGGGGCCTTCTCCTGATGTGGGGGGGCAGAGGGGTCTTCTCCTGCTGTGTGTGGGGGCAGAGGGGCCTTCTCCTGCTGTGGGGGGCAGAGGGGCCTTCTCCTGCTGGGTGGGGGGGCAGAGGGGCCTTCTCCTGCTGTGTGGGGGCAGAGGGGCCTTCTCCCTGCTGTGTGGGGGCAGAGGGGCCTTCTCCTGCTGTGTGGGGGGCAGAGGGGCCTTCTCCTGATGTGGGGGCAGAGGGGCCTTCTCCTGCTGTGTGGGGTAGAGGGGCTTCTCCTGATGTGTGGGGTAGAGGGGCCTTCTCCTGATGTGGGGGGGCAGAGGGGCCTTCTCCTGATGTGGGGGGCAGAGGGACCTTCTCCTGCTGTGGGGGGCAGAGGGGCCTTCTCCTGCTGTGGGGGGCAGAGGGGCCTTCTCCTGCTGTGTGGGGCAGAGGGGCCTTCTCCTGATGTGGGGGGCAGAGGGGCCTTCTCCTACTGTGTGGGGGGCAGAGGGGCCTTCTCCTGCTGTGGGGGGGCAGAGGGGCCTTCTCCTGATGTGGGGGGCAGAGGGGCCTTCTCCTGCTGTGTGGGGGCAGAGGGGCCTTCTCCTGCTGTGTGGGGGCAGAGGGGCCTTCTCCTGCTGTGTGGGGGGGCAGAGGGGCCTTCTCCTGATGTGGGGGGGCAGAGGGGCCTTCTCCTGATGTGGGGGGGCAGAGGGGCCTTCTCCTGATGTGTGGGGGCAGAGGGGCCTTCTCCTGATGTGTGGGGCAGAGGGGCCTTCTCCTGATGTGTGGGGGCAGAGGGGCCTTCTCCTGCTGTGTGGGGGCAGAGGGGCCTTCTCCTGATGTGGGGGGGCAGAGGGGCCTTCTCCTGGAGTTCCACAGTTCCCGTGGGTCCTCCCTCCCTTCTCCCCTAGAGCTCCTGGTGTTTTCTTAGTTAATGGTGGGGGGGAGAGAAGGAGCTAGACTGCAGGGCTGGGTGAGGACAAACTTCCTGGGGTCCCGGCCTTTCTCTTTCCATGCTCCAAGGCCCCCATCTGGCCTACACTTACTCACAAGCATTGGGAAGTACCTTCTATGCCCTGTCTGACAGAGTTCCAAAGAAGGTGGGTTAATTTGTTTTTCTAAATCATAAAAATAGTTATTTTTGTATTTGTAAAAAAATCCCTTATTTTTAAAGTAAATGTTAAGCGAACACACAAGGCTATGCTTTCACTATGGCATTTTTCTTGTTTTTCGTTAGAAATGATCACCCTCAGATAAACCATAGTGGCTATTCTGCCACTGTGCAAGCAGTCGCTATGGCATTTCATAGGTAGATGTCGTTATACTTTGTTCTCCCACCCCCTTTTACTGCCCTCCCCTATGCCCATTGTCCCCCTCTCTTTCCCAAACAGTCTTTCTCTTCTACTTTCCTGTCACCAGTACTCCATTGTCCCATCTCTCCTCAGGATGTCTTCCTGCCTTCCCATGATCCCTTTCTAATTTCATGGTCTGCATACAATATACACACAAAGCAAATGTAACACAATTTTAGGTATTATCAATGAAATACTATCAGATGAATATGATTATATGAAGTAACATCAATGAGACTCTTGTGAAAGACCATTTATTAATATAACTGAAAAGTTTTAAATGTAACTAGGGGCCAGAGCAGTCACTCTGGGTTAGGAATGCATACCGCTCTTCCAGAGGACCTGAATTTAGTCCCCAGTACTCAGATGACCCCCAACTCCCTGTAACTCCAGCTCCAGACACCTGCACTCACATGCACCTATCCCTCCATCCACATAATGAAGTTAAAAATTAAAATGTCAAGAACAACTGACCCCTCACTTTCCATGGTTTCAGTTAGCCACCACCAAATGCAGTCCAAAAATTAAATGGAGATCCACTATTGAGAGATAAACCACAGTCACATAACTTGTGTTAGATCACAATTGTTTGGTTTCATTATTAGGCATGTTGGTAATCTCATACCATACCTGTGAATTAAACTTTGTTTAATTTGTATATATCAGAAGAAATGACATCTATACAGTTGAGAGCTGTCAGAGACAAAAGCCATTATTGTGTCCATGCATTCTCAGAAGAGTTTTTTTGGTAACCTATATGATATTGGCCACTTTTCTCTCTGGCACTCACAGGAATCTCTATATGATGAATCCTTTCCCATTGGGGAGACTTTATGCAGCCCACACCAGCACTTCTCTTCAGTATTTAGTTTCAGGGGACTCTATCTGGACAGAAGCGAGGAGGAAATTGCCCCTAGGAGCAAACCTGAGTCACCACAGCACTGATAGGAGCACCTCCTCCTCGTCAGCCTCTCCATGCATCCTCACCACCACCTGAGAATACAGCAACCTGCATCCCACGGGCCCGAGCAGGAAGCCTGGGATGGATTCTCCAAAAGACGAGCCAGAAGAGCAGTGCAAGGGAAGCAAGCCCAGCGGAGTTGTGGACACGAGCAAACCGGAGAGGACGCAGAGGCTGGCAGGAGGGAGTCAGAGAAGAGAGGCAGAAAGAAAAGTAACAGCACAAGGAAACAGAAGAGACCCGGGAGAAAAGCTGAAGAGAACTAGACAAGAAGCACATCTCTGAGAGATGCCCTGCCAAGCGTCTATTTATCTAATTTCAAAGTAAAGCCATAAACCAAGGAGACACGTGTGGTTTCCTCTCTGCTCAGAGCGCTCCCCAACAACTTCATCCCCCTCCCTCTGCCTATTGCCCAGTTCAGGAGTGTTCACCTGCCCGTGGGTTGGAAGCTGAGGAACAATCTTTTGTTTGGTTTGGATTTTGAAATAGGGTCTCTTCCAGGCAGCGGTAATACATGCCTCTAACCCTAGCACTTAGGAGGCAGAGACAGGTGGATCTCTGTGAGTTTGAGGCCATCCTGGTCTACAAAGTGAGTTCTAGGACAGACAAGGTGATGGAGGAAGTCCTGTGTATATGTCAATAAAGCACTGTTGGCCAATAGCGAACCAAGATAGGTGGGACTAGGAGTCGAGGAGGACTCTGGGAAGGAGAAACACAGAGAGTCAAGATGTAACGCCATGGGGTAGGAAGCCCGGAAACTTCTCCGGTAAGAGACATACTTAGATTAACAATTACGGGGTAATTACTTAAGTCAGAGCTAGCCAGTAAGAAACAAGCAAGGCCAACAGCTTCATAATTAATATAGCCTCCTGTGTGTTTATTTGGGACTGATGCGGCTCTAGAACCAGGCTGGCAGGAAGGCTTCCCTTTACAACAAGGCTATACAGAGAAACCCTATCTCAAAGAGAGACAGAGAGGGAGGGAGGGAGGGAGGGAGGGAGGGAGGGAGGGAGGGAGGGAGGGAGAAGGGAGAGAGGGAGGTAGGGAGGGAGGAAGGAGGGAGGGAGGGAGGAGGGAGGGAGGAAGGAGGGAGGGAGGAAGGAGGGAGGGAGGGAGAAGGGAAGGAAGAGAGAGAGATAGGGTCTAACCTATCCACTTCATGGATGCTGGGATTAAAAGCATTTTCAGCTACTTCCAGTTTACTTGGTGCTAGGAACCAAACACAAGGCCTTGTGCATACTAGGCAGGCACTCCACAGCCCGAGTTACATCACATCTCCACCCTCTCTTAGGAACAATTTTTCCAGATTAGAAGACAAAGTGTTCAGGTAGAGTGAGTTTTCCTCTTGTTCAAACTTACTAGGTCTGCTACTGTCTCGGGCTTGGGAACACGGACGCACTTCCTTTTAGGCTGCCCTGACAGACGGACACGCCTGCTTGACGTGTCTTTGTCCATGAATTAGCCATCCCATGTCAAACTCTCAGCACTCCTCGCTGCTCCTCAGCTTTACTTCACTCCTTTGGACGCGTTGATGTCTCTCCCTTTTGCTTTTCAAATGCTGATTGTCTCACCTGCCCCTGCAGATCAGAATTAAGCACTGTGACAGGATTTACTCCCTTTCGTTGAGTGCTGCATTCGGTGTCCAGAGCAGTGCCTGGCACACAGGAAACACTTCAAGCGTGTGTGGAGTGTTCAGTCACACCACAGGAGCAGAGTAAGGAGGGGCCAGAGGGTGGTATCGGCCTCTGCAGTCAAAACCATCATGCCTGCCCACAGCAGACCAGACATGTGGTTTTCAGAGACAAGATGGACTAATGAGCCTTGAGTACAGTCGGTGGTGTCGTTTCTTTTTAAAGATTTATTTATTACATTACATAGAGTTCTGTACTGAATGTATGCCTTCACACCAGCAGAGGGCACCACATATCGTTATAGGTGGTTCTGAGCCACCATGTGGTTGCTGGGAATTGAACTCAGAACCTCTGGAAGAACAGCCAGTGCTCTTAACCTCTGAGCCATCTCTCCAGCCCTGGTGGTGTCACTTCTTAGATTGTCACTCCTAAGTCCTTTTCTTCTACTAGCAACTTTCTAATTGCAGGGCTCTTGTTGACCTTAATTTGCCCGTCTCTCAGAAGGGCTGCACCAGCTGCCTCCTGGGCAGAGTCCTGAGCATCTCCTCCAGCCTCTGTTCTTTCCATTGCCTTTACTCACCATGCCACACTACTCACTCCCCTCATCTTCCAGAGGTCGGGACATTCTTTAAAGACTTCATCTTGCTGACCTGGGTATTGAACTCAGGGCGTTATGTGTACTAGGCAAGCACTCTACCAGTGGGCTACAGTCGTATCCCAAACATTTAATTTTTGAGTGCCACCTTAATTTCTTCCAAGTCACAAACTCTAAAATTTATTTCAATTTATTTACCCTTTCTGTGTATGTGAGCTTATGTGTGTGCACAAATCACATCACATATGAAGGGGTCAGAGGACAACTTTCAGATGTTGCTTTTCTTCTTTTACTATGTGAGTTCCAGGGATTGAACTCGGGTTATCAGACTGGATGCAAAGACCCCTACCCGCTGAACCATCTTTCCATCTCTTTATATTTTTAAAATTATATGTGAAATCAGTATATATGCAGTTTTAAGTGTTACATACAAATTGTTTTTATACCTTTTATTTGTTTTTGAGAAAGGATCTTATGTATCCTAGGTTGGCCTCAAACTTGCTATATAGAGGAGAATGACCTTGATTTCTGAACTGCCTGTCTCTGCACACAGGAGTGTACAAGCACACCTGATTTTGTATAACGCTAGAGCTTCAACCCAGGCCTTTGAGTGCTGGACATGTGCTCTGCCAACTGTTGTTCTCTTAAAAATCTCTCTCGTATACAAGGGTTCATTTCCATCTCCTTTCCCTTCCTAACTAGGCCCTTATTCATGGGGAATCTCTAGCATTCACTATCTGTTCAGATTTCACTGACATACTTCCAGGGCGATAACCCATTTTATGACTTTTCCCCTGGAAGTCTTTCCATTTACCCCAGATAGCACAACAACACACCACACAATTGGGTCCACCTTCCTTTCTACTGTTTAAGACCTCCTTAGTCCCGCCTGAGTCTCACCTCATGAGCTCTCCGTCAGTGGTAGCCAATGCCCCTTTATGGTCAAAACTTCCCGCAAGTGTTGTTTAGTCGTGGGCACGGTGGCTGTACCTGAATCTACTGCTGTTCCAGCTACTCACTGTGGCTCCAAAATCACTGCCCAGCTGCTCAGGCCAAGGCGGGGCAGGACTTCTGTGTCCAGGGGAGTGAGATACTGGGATCAAAACTTGCTAACTCAGAGAGCCCATGAAGCAACCAATTGACTTTCCTCCTCAGCTGGCGACCCAGCAAGTGACCCTCCCTAGCTTCACAGACAAAAACTGAGAGCATCATCAGACAGCATCTGAGACCTACAACAGAGGTTTCCCCCCAACTTTGTTCTAGCCTACTCAACAAACATACCCTGTTCCTGAAGCAGAAAGAAATGTATTGGCATGTCCAGAAAGACACACCTAAGGGTTTGATCACCCAGTGTTTTGAGCACGCTACCATTTCTGTAAACATCTGGGGTAACCCTGAGACGCAGCAGGAGAAGATGGTCTCGGTAAAATCTGAGAAAGTTAATCCTCAAAGCAGAATATAACTCTTACCCAAAACAGATATCCACAAGATATCACACTGTTTAGGATTTTTCAGGAGAAACAATGTTTCCAAAATGGAGGAAGCATTAGATAAATGCCATCCAACACTGCAGCCAGCTTTCTGTGAGATAGTTACAGACTTTCAACTGAGTTTGGAAAAATGAGGAGAGCTAACCAACAATAACTTGGTTTTACAGTTCCCTCAATTAGCAATATTTACTATTATAAATTTGATAATCTTTGAATGGGAAACCAGAAGTCCTAGGTAACAAGAGATAATGAATGGGCAGTCTGCTTTAATTGGATCAATTTCTATCCTAGATTGATTATCTGTTGCTATGATACACACTGACCAAAACCAACTTTTTTGGCTATAGGTTATAGTCTATCATTGAGTGACGCCAGGGCAGGAACCTGGAGACAGGCACTGAAGCAGACCATGGAGGAGCACTCTCACTAGCTTGGCTCAGCCACTTAAACAGCTCAGGTTCACATGTCTGGGGTGGCACTCCCCACTGCAGACTGAGACCTCTTATATCAATTATCAGTTTTTAAAATACCACACAGACATTCCCAAAGGCCAGTTTGATGGAGGCAATATCTCAACTGAGTTCCCTCTTCCCAAGTGTCTCTGGGTTGTATCAAGTTTATAGCTGAAGCTAACTATGACACCGTGTATGTTTTCTTCTTTTAGATACAGACTCTTGTGGTTTTATTGAAAATTATCTGATTAAAATTGTTTTTTAAATAACAATAATGGGCTAAGTACAAAAAACCCCATTAAGTCAGAAAAAGATATAATGTTATACATAAGAGATATATTTTTGATTTAAAAAAGTTAAAGAAAAAATGCTTTAGTTGAGAAAGGACTTTGGTAAAACAAAGATTTTTCCAAAATGGAAAAGAATGAGAATAATTTTAGAAGATTGAATTTTATTGTAGAAAGATTGTGAGAATAAAACTTAAAGTGGATGGCTATAACTAAATTGAGTATAATATAAAGTTTACTGAAACTTTAAGGTCAAAATTCAATGGCCTGAGATAAATTAATGCTTGATCCTGTTTGCAATGGTAAAGTTTTCCTAAGTATTGGTCTAATTTTACTAATGTTTACAAAAAAATGGCTTCAAAAAGCAAGGGCTGTGTTTTTATCCTTTTACTAAATTAGACATTCAAAATCTGGGATTATTTTTATGTTCTATGTTTTCCTACTGGACAAAGCCTTTGCTTGTTAGATATCCATCACCTCAACAGTAACTTGGGGTATTCCTATATTCTTATTAACTACATAATGATCATGGAAGTCATTTTAATGGACAAATATTTACATTTATTTATAAAATCTGGCCTATTAGATTGAAAAACAGTACTAATAAATTGTCAAAATTAACTAAAGCTTTGACTTTCAACTGGGGTTTACCTATTTCTGAAAATATCTTTCTTACAAAAAAAGTACTTGGTTTCAACAAAATAGCTATCTAGATAAGCTTTAACAATGGCACCAGTTGACATACCAACATGGTTTTGGGAAATCTCATGGGGCCCCATCTCTGGATGAAGAACTATAGGCAATTAACAATTACTGAGAGAGAAAGACTTAGTTTCCTCTGGGAATTATCCACGAAAACCATTGTCCAATACCAAGTGATCATCC